CCTTTGACTTTCAGTCTATGAATTTTTAAATTAAATGTGTTTCTTGTATGCACTATACTGTTGGATCTTGCTTCTTGATCCCTTCTGCCAGTCTGTTTCTTTTGACTGGTGAATTGAGACCATTAACATTGATGGTTATAACTGCTATGTACTGACTTCTCCTTGTCATCTTATTTTCCTGTTGTTGGTTCCTTTTTTCTATGGTATCTTCTACATATGACCATTTTGGCCTCACTTCCTTCTCCCAGCCTTCAAACCAGGGAACAAGTACAGGCATATGCAATGTTACACGTGGGTGAACCCAAAATTCATTTATAGGGGACAAGCTTTTCTGTGTATTTCAACACAAAAGTGTTGAAACGTGCTACCTTCACTACCTGGTCATACACTGGCAACCTGTATAACATCTAGGAACTGTATGCTGCAAAAGTTGGATTTGTCTGTTATATACACAGCAAAACAAAATCCACAATACATATATAAAAACGATGTCTCAAAGTGTCCAGGTACAAACACACTAACATAACACCTTTCGCAAGTGCTTCCTCCCACCTCCTCCAAACCGCTGAACAAGCAAGCAGCACCACATTGCTCAAGAGGTGGCTCAACCTTTCCATTCCCAAAACACAGCATTTCATATGAACGTTAGCAAAAAAAATTCACAAAGTGGTATTTTACTTCCTCTACAGTTAATGTATGCTGGGCACTTCTAAACATCTCAAAAAGACTAGATGTCTCAAGTGAGGACTCAATTTGTCCATCACACGTACACAGCATTCTTTTTTTTTTTTTTGGTACCGGGGATCGAACTCAGGACCTTGCGCTTTCAAGGCGGGTGCCGGAACCACTGAGCTAAATCCCCGGCCCACAGCATTCTTGATTACATGGCACACAGGTAACAATAGTTGAAAGTGTCTTGAAAATATGAGAATTCACTCTAGAACCCTTCCCTTCTCCACTAACCCAGTGGGCTAGAATACTCAAATTTTCAGAAGTCTTTCCTAGGAACTGTAATAAAAACTGACAAAATTTGTTAGTTTACTAACTCTACTTTTATCAAAACTGGCAACCTCTTTAACATCTAGGAAGACTAGATGTTGTCAAACATCTCATTTGTCCTCTACATACCCTACTTATACAAATAAAAATGTGCAGACCTGAGGGACAGCAGTAACATCCCTCGCTGTGTGCATAAGCACCACTCTGCATTTCCCTCTTTCGAGAACCAGTGCAGAAACAGTGTGTACACTCGAGAGGGGTTTGCCTATTACCCCACAAAACAACACTTCATGTGAGCTCTGACAAAAAGAAATTTACAAAATGCATTATTTTACTACTTCTACTTTTTAACATGTATTAGGCATTTGAAAGACCAGATATTTCAATAAAGTACTTAGCATTGTCAATTACAGATAAACAGTAATGAGGACCAAAATGCACACACGAAACAAAAGTTACAGTGCGAACCATGTCTTCCACATGGGGCCAGCCTGGTACTGGACGTTCTTCTCTCTTTTGCTCCGTGTCCTCTGACCACACAACAGGTGTGGACCAGCGTCACTCCTGTGTCACTTCTCCAGATGCTCTAACGAACTCCATTTCAAAAAGTCACTTCCAGAAAATGTTTTTGTCACTTTTTTTTAAATCAAATGGGCATTTCCAAGATGTATGGTTTTTCTAACTACTTCATCATATATCGGCAATCTCTTTACATCTATATTGTCCACAGGCAGCAAGTTTTCTTTTAAAAAATTAGGGAGAGGCTGGGGATATAGCTCAGCGGCGCCTGCCTGGCAAGAGCAAGGTCCCAAGTTTGATCCCCAGTACCGAAAAAAATAAAAATAAAAGGTTAGGGGGAATGTTGAGAGCAGCTTTTTCATATTATATACACAGGCCTTCTAAAACTGGCCAGTAAATCTTCTCAGAGGGTGAGGGGCATTTCTAATTAGCCAAACAGGGAATATTACTTCAGGTTTCTCTCTCTGGCAATTGCCCATGGCTCACCAGCTGTTCCACCCGTCCTCAGCCTGGGGTCCCTCACTTTCCAGTCTCCTCCACCTGGGAGGCAGCAGTCACCCTGGGACCCAGATGTGCACAGTTCTATGACCCGAACTGGCCGGGCTTTCAGATCCACCTTCTCCAGCCCTTATGGCAGCCAGAGGCCTCCATTTTCTTACCATGCTATCCTGCAGCTGCTGCAAGGCGCTGACTCCTTGATGGCCGGCAGACCCTGCCGCCTGAGAGGTTCTGCCCCAAGGCCGCCGGCGCCCAATCAGGTCATCGAGGTGGGGTGCGGAACACTTTGCCTGTGCTTTAAAGCCTGGGCCCAGACAGTGGGCAGTCACAGTGGGGATCCCTTAGCCTGCAGGGCAGAGGCACAGCTCATCCTCGGGCCCCAGGTCATGGCCACCATCACCAGGAGGGCCTGGGCGTCTCTTGGGAAGCAGGCTGCACTGCTTCTCACTGCACTCTCTGCCGGAACTCTCCAGGCCCTCCTCGCCTTGAGGGTTTGTGTTGAGAAGTCTGCTGTGATTCTGATGGGCTTTCCTTTACAGGTGATTTGTTTCTTCTCTCTAACAGCTTTTAATATTCTATTCTTGGGCTAAATTTCTGGGATCCTGACTCTTCTGTGCCTTGGGGTAGTTTTTTTGGTTTCTTAAGGGGAAAGGGTTTACTTAGTTCACAATTCGTAGAGGTTTCAGCCCATAATCACTGGCTCCAAGGCAGGGATGGCAAAACAGGTGCCACAGAGGAGAACCAACAGGGTATGCACAATGTAGCAAAGGCAACAAGGGACCTTATGAGAGTGTCTTTCTGCCTTTTTTCTCTTATTCAGACTACTGAGATTAGGGCGGTGCCAAACCAATCACTCATGTGCAGAGGTTTGGCAATCACATGCCCTTAATCGCAGCATCACATATTCCAGATTCAGCCACCTTTGAAAAAGCATGAGGCTAGCTGGGGTGTGGTGGCACATGCCTGTAATCCCAGCACTCGGGAGGCTGAGGCAGGAGGATTGCTGTGAGTTCGAGGCCAGCCTGGGCTATATAGTGAGTTTAGGGCCAGCCTGAACTACAAAGGGAGACCCTGCCTCAAAAAAACAAACAAAAAAGAAAAAGCATGAGGCTTTAGGGAGACATCTAAACACAAGCCATAACATCCCACCTTTGCCTCCCAAAGACTCATGTACACCCCTTTACACAAAGGCATTTAGTCCCTCTCCAAGCGTTGCCGAAGTCCTAACAGTTTAGCATTGAAAAGTCCCAAGTCTCAGATTTAAGGCAAACTCTTAGCTGCAAGCTTCTGCACAAATGAAAGTTAAACACTTCCAATATTCAATGCCATAAGATACAAATTTCTACTCCAAAAGTTATAAACAAGGAGATACAAAGGAATGGGTCCAAAGCAAGACCAAAGTCCAGCAGAGCAAACATTAAATCCCACAGTTCCACTTCCAGCATCCCTGGCACTGTGTGGCAAGTTGTGAACTCCCAAGGGCTTGGGTGGCTCCACTCCTATGGCACTACAGATGGTGGAAGCTCCCACAGCTTCTCTCTTGGGCCAGTTCTGCTCCCTCCTGGCAGCTTTCCTCATAATCCAGGCTCCTGGCTTTTCCAAACCTCTGTGGTCTCCGCTGCAGCTTCACCTTCACAGCTTCACACACTGCCCTCTCAGGGGCACGCTGCCTGGTCCCCCAGGCCTTCTTCTGAAATCTGAGTGGAAGCCTTCCTGACCGCACAACTCCTGCATTCTAGATGTACCTAAACCCAGCGCCATGGGGATGATGCCAAGGTCTGCTGTCAGCTGAAGCAGTAGTAAGTAGCCAGACTTCCCTCTCTCTTGACTGTAGGGCTTCAGTGCCTGGATCGCTAAGCACTCTGAATCTAATTCCAAGGAACAAATTCGTAGGCTGCTGCTGCCGCCATTATGGAACATGGTGCTCTAGGACTCCCTTCAAAAAGCAAATTCTTTCACTTTTGCAACTTTGAGGCTGCAAAGGCTGGAGTCTTGCTGCTTTTTCTGATGCCCTTAGGTCATCTTTTCTGTTCTGTTCCTTTTTGGCAATCAAGATCTCTGATCTGTCTTTGCAGTTCACAGCTTTAATGGAGCTTCCTTTCTGGACAAACTCACACTGTTTTAAGTCATTCTGCTGGGCTATCTGCTCTTGATTCTCAACATAGATCTAAAAGCTCCCAACAGCAGCCATGACACCACCTCAACATTAGACTGCCTTGAAATTTCTTCTGCAAGATTAATTAGTCCACTCCCCTAATCTCAGTCTCAGGCAAAGTCTCTGGACGTAAGCAAAATGCAGACAAACTTTGTGCCAAGCCATAACACACATCATCTGGAGTCCAACAGCCAATGCAGTCCTCCTTCCCAGCAGACACTTGCTGAGCTTGGTCTTTACTGGCTTTCTGGTCGTCTGAGCTCTGATCAGAACTTCTCATACAGAATAGCCTAAGGTGTTCCAGCTCTACCTCTATAGCCAGCATCTCTGAGTCTTTCCTAACTCTTCCCCTTCCCACAAGCCAGTTCCAAAGGCTCTTGAGCCACACAGTCAGGTAATGTCACACCAACGACCCCACTTCTCTGGTACCAAATTTGTGTTAAATTTCTTTTCTTTTGTTGCTGAGACAAAATACCCAACACCTAAAGCAAAAGGGGGAAAGGGTTTATTTAGCACAGTTTGTAGAGGTTTCAGTCCATAGTCAGCTGGCTCCAAGACAGGGATGGCAAACAGGCAACACAGAGGAGAAACAACGTGGCACACCCAAGATAGCAAAAGCAACAAGGGTGGTAGATTTTTTTGATCATGGCTAATTGGAGTTTTATATGCCTCACTTATCTGTATGTCGGATTATTTTTCCATGCTTAGGAAGTTTTCTGCCATTACTTCTGTGAACAGGTTTTTTTATATCATCTTTTGTAATTCTTCTTTGTATCACTGAGCAGCTGCTGGATTTTTCATGGTTCCTTGCTATTTTTAAGAAGTCTTTCTTTTCATGATCACTAACCACAATCCTATCTTCTATATTTGATTTCCTGTCCTCACATTGGCTTGTTCTGCAGATACTTTCAATGAATTTTTAATCTCCTGGATATCTGTTTGAATCTGTTTCATGGATTCCATTTTTTCCCTATGTTGGGCTTTCATGGTTTCCATTATTTTCCCAAGTTCTTCTAATTGTTTATCTGTATGTGCTCTGTATTCACTAAACATGTCTTTCATTATGGTCACCAACTCTGTAGTTAACTCAGAAATTAATTCTGATTTGAATTTTTCTAGAGCTTCATTTATCACTGTTACCATTCCTGAGACTTCAGGCAGACGGTTTTCAATTTGTTCCACCTCACTGCCTTCTGGGCTTGCCTTTTGTGAGCTGGAAATCTGGAGTTTCACCTTCCTTAAATGTCTTCCCATTTTTTTAGTTTAATTCCTGGTTTGATGCTTGTAAATTGCTTATGCCAAGCACCTTTATTGCTAGTATTGCGAACCCTTGGGGAATGACTATTTCTCAGAGATGTCTTCCAGGTGTAGCTGGCTTTTGGGTTTTGAGTCTGTTGCGAGATCCTATTTCTTCACTTTATTGAGGATGAGAAGTTGCTGCCTATTTAGTCTAGACCCTGGTTCTTGGAACTGGCCTATAGTATTATTTATGACCCTTAGGCAATCTTAGTCTTGGCATTCCAGGAAGAACAACTGATCAGAACAGTTATGTCACTTTGGCTAACGTAGTACAATCAACAATAATAGCATCAAACACAGCCTAAAGGTAAACTTTGGTAACTATTAATTTGCCACCTTTAACCATATGGGCTATATTTGTGCTTATATAACAAAATCTAAAACAAACCAGAAAATTGTATACAGATAATAACATGCCTTTGATATGGCAATTTTACCCTAGGGGAGAAAATTTAAAATAGATTAGAAGGAAAAATAGAGAAATAGAAGACAAAGAGATTAGAAACAAGGCTGGAATACAAAGAAAGGTTATGCAAACTTTGGGAAACTGGTGAAGACAGGGAAAGAAAGAAGGAAGAAATAAAAACAAGAACAGAACAACACAAGAAAACCAGAAATAATGTTCACATTCACATAAAAACAAAAACAGGGGCTGAGGATTTAGCTCAGGGGTTCTGGCACCTGCCTCACAAACGAAAGGTCCCCAGTTCAATCCCCAGTACCAAAAAAACAATTAAGAAAAAAGAAAACAAAAAAAATCAAGAAAAAAATGTCACTTCAGCTGTGTCTCTGCAGTTAATGGTAGATACAGTGGTCAGACAGAGCCCAGATCCATGTCAATTAATCCCAGAAAGCCAGCTGTAGGGTTACAGCAAGGTAGAGAACAATCCCAGCAAGCCTGCACCTTTAGCTCCACTGCAGTTCAGGCAGGTTTCTGGCTGTGAGGCTGGAACTCATTTTATTAAGCCTGCAGCACTCCACGTGCTTCCTGCCAGCTTGAACTTGGCTCCTTGACCTCCTGACGACTTGAACTTGGTTCCACCTCACCCTGATGGAGCCAGCCCTCAGGTGCTCTGAGTTCCAAGCTCAGCTGGGCCCTCACAAGATGGCTACCAGCTATCGCCCTCTCCTGGTGATATACAGAACTAAATTAAGTAGAAATATTATAGGCAGTCAGACAGGGCTGGGCCCTGAAGTCAATGCAGAGGATGAGAACACATTGAAGCTGTGGCTGGAGGTGCATCTGAAGATGAAAGTCACAATGGCCAGATCTGCATACTTCCCTAAGGGATGAACAGAAGCTTGAGATTATCGGTACCACCCTTTTGGGCTTCCCCATATAGATCATTATCTCATTGGGAGTGGACCATCCTCTCCCACCAAGACTAGGACAAATTATTGACCAAGGTTAATGGTGTCATCCACACACCCTTGTTACCAGGGTTCAGTATTACCCAAGCAACTATATTTGTGATCTTATTAGTTGATTATAGCTTTTACCCACATTGTACCCACCCCTTATAACTTTGCTCTATAAAACTACCTTTTGAGAAGCTGGCTTGTTGGCAACCCATGTGAGACCCCTACTGTCTCTCAGGAGCTATTCTTATTCCTCACTCCTATTCCCCAATAAATTTTCCTACTCTTAACCGCTATTGTTCTTTAAAATTCATTCTTCAACTTCGCCTATCTGACATTTAGCATGCTGAGAGTTACATCTGTTCCCCTATATCATTTTGGAGGTCCCACTGAGATCACTAGACAGAGCCAAGAGTTTGCTTTTGTTCAGACGCTGGCTTGGGACTCACTTAGGTGATCAAAATTGTCATCCTTGTTTGTTAATTGCATATGGCCTGAATTCATCCCTGTCTTTGTTAATCACTGATATCTTGAATTTATCCCTTAAATACATTGTCCTTTATTTTTTGGGAGGTACTGGGGACTGAACTCGGGTCCTTGCACTTGCGCAGCCGGTGGGGAAACCACTGAGCTAAATCCCCAGCCCCATTGTCCTTTTTTATAACAATGGTAAATTTGAGAACATGGTAAGGTATGTCCCATCAAAGAATGTAACATTCCTGTTCTGTATATGCTGTACTTTGGACTTAGTTTCTAAATTTATTTTGATGTTCCTTGCTTGACCCATTTCACTCTTTTGACTGCTGTGGTTTGTTATCTCAGACAACAATGCTAGGAAAATAGCAACAGAGTGCCCCCAGTGGACTTTAATATAAAATTCTGTAAAATGGGTTTTTTAATGAAATCTACTTTATATTTGAGAAATATGCACGCCTACTAATAAATCTCAGGACCTCATCCACTAGTTAAGACAACAGGCTGATGGCCATTCTTAAAACTTGAGGGACAGGTTTCACTGAGTTCCAGTTCAATCCTCCTCTATACTTGAGAAAATCTTGGCCCTGTTCTGTCTGTTTCCTTTCTGGTCTGATCTTCTTTCTGCTGGTGAGGAGATAATCTTAGCTCTTGAGATTTCCCATTCTTGCTTTTCCAGGCTAAGAGTGATGACTCAGGAGCAAGTTGTCTCAATAACTTACCATAAGCATGAGATGAAAAACATCGCCTTTCCTGGTCTCATTTCTGATCTCTCCCTGACACTTTACAGTTTCCTTGATCTTAGCCAAAAGGCCAAGAAGCAGTGATGTTACAGTTTCTGTATAGAGGCATGTAAAATTACGAGAAAGAAGGATCTCTAAAACTACCCCAACATATTCCCACTAAGGACCTTTCAGTTGAGCCCATAGAAATGAGCATTTTGTTAATGCTGAAGGTAAAGAAGTCATCTTACCTGGGCTGGGGATTTAGCTCAGTGACACCACACCTGCCTTGCAAGCACAAGGTCCTGAGTTCAATCCCTGGTACCAAGAAAAAAAAGTCATCTTAGATGAGGAACACATTTAGTTTAAGGGAGAACCCCAATCTTCTCTCTCTCCTCTCTAATTCTGGTTCTCATCATTTATATATGTAGAGGAGAAAAATATTTTTGCAAATAAATTGTAGACTGTGAAACTTTGGCTGTGAACTTGTAAGATGCTATGTGTCAGGCCTGCCTTAATTCAACAAGACAAAGCAAACAGGCTGCTGTCTGCAAACAACAGCAGCTCCTTGGTAAACAGGGAAAATGGACTTAAAATGTAGTATACAACCCCCCTGGTGCCAAGAAGTCCAGTAATTCTGTACACACCTGAGCAGACTGTCCTTGGACATCCAAGTCATAAGTATTTCACCCCAGATTCCTTAGCCCCTTCAAAACTTACATACGGCTATTTCCTTTCCCAGTTAATGGATAATCTCTCTCTCATTTCTGGTGTTAGCTCATCCTCTCATGGATGAAATCTCTCCCAGATAGCTGACACTATCTCTCCCACTGTCAGCCCATCCACACACAGATGTAATAAACTTGGCTTTTCCCAGTTAGCTGCTAGACTCTGATTTTAGTCTCTGTTTACTGGAATAAATTTTCCTTTCAAAAGCCGTTTGTGCTACTGGGGATCAAACTTAGGATCTTGCACTTGCAAGACAGGCATGACACCACACTGAGCTAAATGCCCTCAAAAGCCTTTTTTTTTTGGTACTGAGGATCAAGCTCAGGACCTTGCACTTTCGAGGCAGGCAGTGCCATTGAGCTAAATCCCCAGCCCCACAAAAGCCTTTTTTGACAAGTGGATTATTTTTTTAGGGGGCGGTACTGGGGATCAAACTCAGACCTTTCACTTGCAAGACAGGTACCAGAACCACTGAGCTAAATCCCCGGTCCTAAGTGGATTCTTTATAACAGTAAGATGCTATGTAATAATTTCTTTGAGTTTTTAGACAGCTTAGGGTTTTTATCTGTCCCTTATAGAATTCAAACAGTAGCTACTCTGCCAGCTAGTTAAATGCCCTTAGGGCAGCTGCCACTCTTAAAGCAGAGGACAGGTTTTCCCAGACCCTCTGTTGAATCCCCATCCTCACAGAAGCCAGTGGCTGATGGAATGTTGACCAGATGGGCAGCTGGATTCCTTTCTAGAGACAGATCTAATTGCGTGGAACTAGTGAAAATTGAGGTGAAAGGTGAGGGGTCATGGCCAGGGCTGCTCTCTGGCAGATACTCAAAGGTCCATCAGTGGAAGCTAGAGCCTGATAGCCGGATAATGTAATCAACAGAAAATCTCCACATAACTATCATCTCTAACCTGCACTCCTCACTTTCAGTGATTCTGGTATTATCTGTCCCAGAGTGACCAGAGATGACACTGTTAGAGCTCTCTCAGTAAGCCTCCATTATTAGTTGAGCTACAGGTTTGGACTTTTCTCTTAGTTAGAAAACTCTCTAAGTTTTTTTCCATTCCAACTCATAGGGAATTAACTTTAGAACTCCTTACTGTTAGACCATACCTCCCTCCAGGAAGTTAAGATGAGGCAGCTTGCAACAAGTTTCTCACAGAGGAGAACAACTAACAGAGGAGCCTTATGTATGCTAAGTAAAAAAGGGATTTTAGTAAGCCTTTCTCCTCCTTGCATAGTTAAGTTATAAATGTGATTGTGGCTGCTAGGCTGAGTATAAGTTTAACCTGTGAAGCTTCAGAGACACAGAAGTTTTAGACTAAACTTTAAATAAAACTCAGCCTTGTCCTACCAGAGGAGGACTGGCCAGGAGGTTAGGCAAATAACACAGATGTCTCAGGAGCTTTGCCCCAGGCCCAGGGTGGAAACTCCTGGCCACTACTTTGACTCTGCCTATCTCTAGAGGTGATGATCTCTTTTGCAGACTAAGAAGTGCTCTAATTTATCCACTGATCTATTTTCCTCGCTCAGAGAATTAGAAAGCAATAGTTTCGATCTCCTGATTATCAGTTTAATTTTGCTAGCAATGCTTCCTTCCTTAAACAAGGCCGTTACAGCTGGAATCAATTGTAGCTTGTGCTTTAGGGTTAGGAGTGTGGGGTCCCAGGGAAGAAAGGGCCAAGAGCGGGTAAAAGACAGATAGTCCCACCCAACCTACCTTCCACTTCCAGAGGCTGCCACCTGCTCCGGGGTGCCCCATTTTGAGGATATAGAGATCAACAGAAATTAAAGGGACACCATTCTCTCTGGATTTCTTCTGCGAACTCAATGCCAAAGCTGTATGATCTGCCTACCCTCTAGAGCCAAATGAAATAGTGAGTAAAGTATTGATTATGATACTATTTCACAACTACAATTCTATTGTAAAAAAGAGAGAAACTGGTCACAATTACCTTATGTTCAGATTTTCTTTGCATTAAGAGATAATCCTGGGGCCAGGGACGTAGCTCAGCAGCTCTGCGCCTGCCTGGCAAGTGCAAGGTCTTGAGCTGAATTCCAAGTACAGGGGGAAAAAAAGAGATAATCCTTATTTTCAAAATGTAAATGTAAGGGGGGTGCGGGGCTGGACATTTCTAGCCTTTAAGGCACAATCCACTATCCCTGAGCTTGAGGCTACTCTTCCTCTCCCTTTAGAGACTGAGGACAAGGTTTCCAAAGTAACTTTAATCAAAGCCACATTCACTATTACTGAGCCTGAAGTTTCCTTTGCTTCTCTTTCCAATGCTAAGGGTGAGGCTTCTTGGGTTGGGGATTTAGCTCAGTGGTTCCACCACCTGCCTCGAAAACTAAGGACCTGAGTTCGATCCCCAGTACCAAAAAAAAAACGCCCCAGAGTGAGGCTTCTAAACCAGCTATAATGGAAGCCTCTACTGGATTATAGCCATCTTTAGCTGATTTTCTCTAAGCCCCTCAAGGACAGTAAACAAATGGCAAATATGGGACTACCTGTGTTTGTGTGTCCTTTACCTTCAGTGACCTCAAACAGATCAAACAAGATCTAGGAAAGTTTTCAGATGACCCTGATATGTACATTGAGGTCTTTAGAGGACTTACTCAGACCTATGAACTACATTAGAAAGATGTGATGCTGCTCTTAAATCAAACATTGATGCCAGGGAGTTAGCTCAGTGGTGCCGCACCTGCCTGGCAAAGTGGAAGATCCTGAATTCAATCCCCAGTACCAGAAAGAAAAAAAAAAGGAAAAGAAAAGGAAAAATATTTTTTTAAATGGGCTGGGGATTTAGCTAAGTGGCGCCACGCCTGCCTCACAAGCACAAAGTCCTGAGGTTCGATCCCCGGTACTGAGGGGAAAAAAAATACTGATTTCTAGTGAGAGACAAGCAGTATTACTGAAGTGGAAAATTTGGTTCCATAATACAGCTCTTCTTGGCAGCTCCGGAGGATGGAAAGCATAGGTCAGAGGCAAAGTGAAAAGCAAGCTTTATTTTCAGCACCAGTGGGTCAGCCTGAGTTCACACTCCAAGAGACTGACCGACGCCCCCTTGAGGTAGAACAGGGCAGGATATACTTGCAGGAGAGGGGCTGCTTACAGACATTTTACATCTTTTTCATTGGTTATGAAGAGTACAGGTCATAAGGGCTTAGCAAATTCATTGGCTATCAGGCATTTCAGACAACAAGTACACAGTGCACGGAGTCACATCTCATTTACATTTGGTGGGGAGGTAGAAGTAACAAAACTGAGAACAAAGAAAATTCCTGAGATGCTTGTGAGGTAGCATGGGGCTAGGCAAGCTCAAATGTGTAGAGAGAATGGGGGAAAACTTCTCCATCAGTAAGTTCAACTTTAACTGTAGGGAAGCATGTCCCCCATTCATTAGAAGCTGCTACTACATTTACAGATAAATATTATCTTAATTTTAGAAGGTCAAAAGATAGGTAGCTAGGGGAACAGCTGCTTCCTACTGAAAATCAAGCAGTCGCTATACAAGACCCCCTCTGGCCTGCCTACCAGACAGGAGGTTGAAACAGGAGATATTTTCAGAAACGTATTCTTGATAATCTAACAAAGATGAGAAGCCCTTCAATTATTTTAAATTGTCAACTACTTATCAGGAAAAAGATAAGGATATCCCTAGCTCCTGATTCAACAGAAGGAAATACTATAGTTTTTTCCAAGTCAGTCTTGCAATATGCAGAAGGTATACTGTCATGTGCCCCCTCAGAAGGGCTCTCTAGCTAAGGCACCCTGCTCTGCTGAATTTTCTAGCAGGGGTTATAAGGTTTGTAGATCTAAGGCACAACTTTGCAGCCTTGAGGTAAAATATCTGGGCTTTAACATATCTAAGGAAACCTGAAGGCTGGGGAAAGAATTAAACCAATTCTTTCCCTCCCATAGCCCAAGACTCTAAAACAGCTAAGCGGGGCCAGGAATTCAGCTCAGTGGTTCCAGCACGTGCCTTGCAAGCACAAGGTCCCGAGTTTGATACCCAGGTCCAAAAAAACCCCCAAAAAACAGCTATGGGGATTCCTAGGAATTACAGGCTTCTTATACTGAGATTGCAAGACCCCTCTATCAGCTTATAAATAAACCCAAAAGACAGATGCCCACATTTTAACCTGGGAACCTGATGAACACTTTTGTTTTCTCTCTCACTCTCTTTCAAGAGGCTAAAAATCAGCCATTCAGGTTCTTTGATTATTGGCTTAATTTTCCGCTTGGCAATGCAGTTGGAATCAATCATAGTTTTTGTCTCTGGAAGCATGTTGTTGTTTTGTTTTGTACCGGGGATCAAACTCAGGACCTTGTGCTTCTGAGGCAGGCATGGCGCCACTGAGCTAAATCTCCAGCCCTGGAAGCAAGTTTTGCTAAGGATTGCAGACTCACCCTGGGAACTCTAGATCTTGTCTTTCTACACCTGAGATGGTTAGGATTTAATTCTTGTGCCATACTTAGAGTCATTCTTCTATCCCTTTTCCACTGCCCTCCCCGTGAGAAATAAGGCAGTTTCTAAGTGTTTGGCCCAAGGCACTGCCCTCCTCTGTGGCTGCTGGATTCCAGGACCAACCTTCCAGAATGGTGAGTTTCTCTTCCCTAGCACCCTTCCAGAGTGAAGCTGACCTTCACTTATCTCTGGGCCACATTAAAAAACTGGTCTAGGTTTAACCCTGAAACTCTCAAAGAATAAATGTAAACGTTTTAGACCAAATTTATCTGTCTTTCAGTCCTCAGGCAGAATTGGAGATTAACTCCTCTTATGTCCCTCAAAAATGATGCTGACTTAAAGAACGACAAACTAGACACATTCATAGCTAAGTGGATGGATATTGAGGCCATACTCTTAAGTGAAATAAATAGGACACACATGTGTAAATACCGAATAATTTTTCTAGTGTGAGAAACTGAAAATGTAAATAAGGATTAAAATGATTAAAATGAATAATTGATAATTTGAAATAGGAAGAAAAGGTCCAAAGGGGTGGGAGGGTAGGGGAAAGGAAAGGGAAAGGAAAAATTATGAGAAAAGAAAAAAAATGGAAACAAAGTCTATGTACATAGGGAAGGCTGGAGGGGGTGAAAGGTGCACAGGTAATGGGGAAAAAATAAGAACTAAGATACATCATGTACAGGTACAAGCAACCAGTGATAAATGTCAACGTACTGTATACCTAAAATGTACCAACTAAAGAATTCAAGGAAAAAAAAAGAATGAGGCTGACTGGTTTTCATAGCACAGAGTTCATTGATAGAACAAAACATTCCTGGAGAACCTTATGAGTTTAATAACAGTTTCAGAAAGAAATAGATATTAAAGAAGAGGCACAGCCCGAGTCCCCAGAGGACTGCCTCGCTCTTCTTGATTTCTCCCCAGAACATCTTGCCAGGACGACCACTATTCTCAGATATGCTACCTGAGTCTCTGAAAAGGAAAGCCTATAGCTAAGTATGGTCCAAGGGTCACAGGATCACAGGGAAGGGGCTATTCCTATAATTTTGGTAAGTCACCCAACCTCCTGAGCAAGTAGATTGCTCAACATCAGAAGACAAAAATCAACAAATGTAAAGTGTGCCAAAGGACGGCACCAAGAGGGAAAAGTCTCTCATCCTTTTACTGAAAGCAACATGGTCAAGCAAGGCCATGACCCATCCTGACGGCTCACACTGACGGGAGCAGAGAGGCTCTATGCACGGTTCCTAAGTAATGCCTGAGGAGATTTAACTGACCTTGATAGACAATAACAGGTTCATACTGATTTACACAGGTTTCACTCTAACTTGATCTTAAAACATTCAGCAGAAAATAATAACCAAAAGATGTATAAAAACAATGCCACAGTAATAAAGTTAGATATAAAAAGGGGCTTCAATTGCTGGCCCCTTCCGGCAGTTTCCAGCTACACCGGTAGCTGACCACTGTTATGAGTCATTATGACAAAATATTAGACTTACAGATAACCTCCATTAGTAAAGGGATCTAAGAGCCAGCGGGTCACAACTGCCACTCCAGTCCCTTAAGAACAGTTTCTAAATGTGGCTCTTTCCCCAACTTGCCTTTCCATTCTATTGCGCATGCTTTGATTATACATGCTCTAGTTTCTAGGGAAATTTGTTTATTCTTGCCTAGAGGCTGTCAAACTCCAAGTGATCGTGCAGATGATGGAACTAATGACAAATGTGTTAGACTCCCTTTACTGGGATCCACCAGATCAACCTTGTAAAGAAAGTTCAAAACTGCTAACTTACAATATGACTTCTATCTGAGGCCCATTAGATTAGCTCTCTGGAGAAGGCCCCTGACTCCGGTCTCCCCTACACTGGCCCTTCTCAGCCCAAGGCAGTTGTATGGAAACTACACCCCTTCTCCCTTAACCACAGTTAGGGATACTTCTTTAGAGAGGGCAATGATATAGACAGCTCAGTTAGACAGAAATATTGTAGGCAGTCGGGCAGGACTGGGCCCTGGAAGTCAATGCAGGGGAGAAAACATCGAAGCTGTGGCTGGAGGGGCATCTGAAGAATATTAAAGTCACAATGGCCAGATCTGCAGCCTCTGGGGCTTTCCCTATATAGGTAGCCATTATCTCATTGGGGATGGGCCACCCTCCTCCACCCACCGGGACCACTAAGACTACAGATTACTCAGCAAGGTGAATGATGTCATCCATATATCTTGTTACTCTTGGGGCAATATTACCTAAGCGACTATATTTGTAATCATTTTGGCTGATTATAGTTTTTTGTTTGTTTGTCTGGTACCGGGGGTCGAGCTCAGGACCTTGGGCTTGCAAGGCAGGCGGCAGCACCACTGAGCTAAATCCCCGGCCCTCGGCTGATTATAATTTTACCCATGTTGGACTCATTGGCAACCCCTCTCCTGTCAGGAGCTATTCTTATTCGCCATTCTTATTTCCCATTCCTATTCCCCAATAAATTTTCCTATGGGGGGGGGGGAGACCTTGCACTTTCGAGACAGGCGCTGGAACCACTGAGCTAAATCCCTGGCCCAAATTTTCCTATTCTTTTTTTTTTTTTTTTTTGGTGCTGAGCATCGAATTCGGGTCCCTGCGCTTGCGCAGCAGACGGCGAAACCACGGAGCTAAATCCCCGGCCCAATTTTCCTATTCTTAACCTCCATTGTTCCTCGGAATTCATCCTTCGACTCTGGGGAAACACGAACTCGGCCTATCTGACATTTAGCATGTGGAGCGTTACATCTCTTCCCCTATATCCTGTGGGGGGCGTCCTACCCCAAATAAGTCACCAGCCACAGCCGTCCGCCGCGTCCTCGCTGCGCGCCGCTCCGCACCGCAGGCCTCTCCGCCGAGCCTCCGTCGCCAGCAGCCCGGGCGTCCGCAGGGCCCAGCCCCTCCCACAGCGAGTCAGGCCCGGGCTCGCCCTCCTTCTGCGTCAGGTCTCTCTCTCCGCTCTTCCCGTGGGCTTCAGTTCTCGCTTCAGATCCCTGCTGGGTCCCGGGACCCACGTCCCTCCTTCTTCTCTTCCTCACGGGGCTATATCCCAGCGTCCGGACTCCAAATCTCAGAGAAGCTGTGTCACCGCCACTCTCCGCTCCGCCATCTTCCCAGAGGTCCCTGCGCCTCTGCGTTAGCCCGCACTGCGGCCCCGCAGGCAGCTGCTGCTGCGCCCTGCAGGCGAGACTGGGAAAGGCAGCTACCGCCGCCTCCACACTGCAGACTCGGACCCGTGCTGCTTCTCTTTCCTCCTCCTCCTCCTGCTCCCCTCCCCCCCACAAAAAAAGCCCTCGCCAGCACGATTTGCACAACAGTTGTCAGATGTAAAATGTACAGCTGGGCACAGTGGAGCATACCTGTGAGCCGAGCTACTCAGGAGGCTGAGGCAGGAGGAGGGACTGCTGACAGACGAAGGCTCCCCGCCCCGCCCAGGCCCCCATGACATAAAGGCCCCCAGGAGACCCAGCTCCTCCAGGTCCCCAGCACCTCCCAGTGATGCTGCACTGGACCGGGCCTTGCACGTGCGGGTCCTCGAGGAACCACGCGTGTCCCCACCACGAGAGAAGTTCGAGGGAGGCTACCGCCTGCTTGTGATTCACACAGGACATGCGTTCCGGGGCCTTCCTCCCGCTCTCGGCCCCTCAGCCAGGCCAGCCAAGTTAGGAGAAGTCAGAGACCAGGAGGGAGGCTTTGCTGAGGAGGCGGAGGACACACAGAGGGCGAGAGGTCCCAACCCAGCACCAGACATGGCGGGGCGGGCGCCGGGGAGAAGTGTGTGTCGGTTCCTGATTCTCAGACCGTTCAGAGGCCTGGGCCTGGCCCACACTGGAGGGGATGACGGGGGCATTTAGAGGACGTGGCGTGGAGGTGGTGACGGAGCCGGGGCCTGCAGGTGTGTGGACATCAGCCTGTGAGGTTTCTTCGGCACTGGGTGGAGCCCACTGGAGCCGAGCTGTGCTAGTGCCGTCTTGGCTCCTGTCCAACGTGACACCCACGGAAGTAAAGAGGCCTCGGGACACAGCGGGCCGTGCAGGGGCTGAGGAAGGAGCGGTGAGCCACGCTGGGAGCAGGCGTGCAGATCCAGGGTCACGTGTGCAGCACAGAGCGTGTCGGCTTCTCTGGCTGTGAGGCAGTGGCGGAGACAACCCGCTTGCCAAAAGAGAGGTTCATTCAGCTCTCTGCCATGGACGTCCCCCTCTGTGGTCAGCGGCCCCAGTTTTGGGCCTGTGCTGGAAGCGTGGAAGAGCAACCACAGAGGAGAATCAGCCAGAACCATTGAAGATGAAGAATTCTTGGGCCGAGGATTTAGCTCAGTAGTTACGCCGCCTGTCTCGAAAGCACAAGGACCCGAGTTCGATCCCCAAACCAAAAAAAAAGAAATTATCTTATTCTCCCCACTTTTTTTTTTTTTCATACTGGGGATTGAACTCGGGACCTTGCACTTGTGAGGCAGGCGGTGGAACCACTGAGCTAAATTCCCGGCCTGAGAAATTATCTTATTCTCAAGCTGAGAGAGGCTTGAGAGGGAGGCTGAGGCAGGAGGATGGCAAGTCGGAGCCCAGCCCGAGCAACGTAGTGAGGCATTGTCTCAAAATTTTAAATTTAAAGAATGGGTTGGGGATATATCTCTGTACAAAAGCCCCAAGTTCATCCCCTAGTACCCCCCCCCCCACACACACAAATTCACAAATTAACTTACTCTCTTACTTCTTCCTTTTCCACTCTATCGTAAACACCCAAGTGGGGACATGAGGGGACAGGAGCCAGCCTGTGTCCCCTCTTCCCTGGGGCAGCAGGCCCAGCAAGGGAGAGGAGAGGCTGTTCTCCCATCAAGTTCTGCACGTTGCAGTTATCAAGCTGTCTATGGCGACAGAGTAGACCGGAAGTAGCCGGGGACAGGGCAGAGCCATTAACTAGGAATGGGACAAGGAGACTTCTATGGGGGAAGGGGGACAGGAAGTTGCCCCCAGTGCCAGGAGCAGCTAGAACTTGGTGAGCTCATTCACTGCTAGTTACCCTCACTAGTTACCCATTGTCACTTAAATTGCTAGTTATCCTTGTTAGTTACCCACTACTAGTTATTCATTGCTAGGCACCCATCACTAGGTACCCATTGCTAGTTACCTGTCACTAGTTACCCACCACTAGGTACCCCCACTACCACTAGTTACTTGTGGCTAGTTACCCATTTCTAGCTACCCATCGCTAGTTACTCATCACCAGTTACCATTACTTATTACAAGTTGCCCGTTGCTAGTTACTCCCACTAGTCACCCATTGGTAGTTATCTACCAGTAGTTACCGACCAGTAGTTACCCATTACTAGTTACACATCACTAGTTACCCACCACTAAGTTACTTTTTAGTTACCCAACACTAGTTACACACCCTGCCATCATCCTGTATGTCCACCCACCCATGGGGATGCAGCGCTCTGGGTGGGACCTGGCCCACCCAGCCACCCAGCAAGGACAAGGAGAGGCCATTCTCCCATCAGTCCTGCACGTTGCAATTCTTTTTTGTTTTGGTACCGGGGATCAAACTTGGGACCTTGTGCTTGCGAGGCAGGTGGCGGGACTGCTTAGCTAAATCCCTGACCCCTGCACAGTACAGTTCTTGAGTTGTCTTAGGGGCTACGCAATGCAGCATAAAAAGGAGAGGGCTCCGGGACCCGGCAGCATTCCCTCCAGGGCCACAGGGAGATGACTAACTCCCATGTTTAGAAAATGTTTAAAAGGATAAGAGGAAAGATAACTAGAATCATGTGTGGGTCACAATAATCGTTCTCCTTATTCCAGAAACAATTCACTTGTGGCATTGGGAATAAAAAACCAAGTTAAGTCCTGGAAGTCAGATTTTATACCATGCTCTGTGCAACATTTTTCTCTGCTGAAGCCTCGAAGCAAGAGAGGTTGAGAACACATTTTTTTCTGGGGAAACCTGAATGGTGCCACAATTCTGCTTCAACTTATGAAGGCATCAGGAGCAAGCCCAGCAGAAAGAGAACCTACATACATTTTTCCCCTGAACTGGGAATTGAACCCAGGCAGTGCTGAGCTACATCCTTAGCTCCTTTATTATTTTTTTTTTATTTCCTGTACCAGGGATCGAACTCAGGACCTTGTGCTTGCCAGGCAGGTACAGTGCCCCTGAGCTACATCCCAGGCCCCCCCCCTTTTTTTGTACCAGGGATCGAACTCAGGACCTTGTGCTTTGCAAGGCAGCCGTGGCACTACTGAGCTAAATCCCCGGCTGCTTATTTTTTTATTTTAGACAGGATCTCGCTAAATTGCCCAGGCTGGCCTTGAATCTGTGACCCTCCCAAGTAGCTAGGATTACAGGTGTGCACCACTGCACCCAGCCCCAACCTCCTTCTTACACCAGAACTTCTTACCCTGCCCAAAGTGCCCTAAACTCTTGACAACAGCTGATATAATCCCCTCCCTATCTGTGGTTTTTCCCTTTCTTTCTTTTTTGGGGGGACAGGGGCTTTTCGGGGAGGGTCTCATTATATGGTTCAGGCTGGCCTTGACCTCCCTATGTAGCCCCAGGCTGGCCTCGAACTCACAGTAACCCTCCTGCCTCAGCCTCCCAAGTGCTGGGATTACGGGTATGTGCCACCATACCTGGCTGGTTTTTGCCTTTCAATCTCGTTTGAAATCTGTAAAACATGAGAGTACACCTCAGCGTGCCTGAATTTTTTTTTTTTTTTGGTACCGGGGATCAAACTCGGGTCCTTCCACTTGCAAGGCAGGCGCCGGAACCACTGAGCTAAATCCCCGGCCCTAATGTACCATATTCTTAAATTTTAGGTTTCAAGTGTTCTCACCACAAAAGTAAGTGAGAAAATGCATATTCGTTACTCTACAATGTACACACATCTCAAAAGATGTTCTACGGGCTGGGGATTTAGCTCAGTGGTTCCACCGCCTGTGTTGCAAGCACAGGCTCCTGAGTTCGATCCCTGGTACCAAAAAAAACCAAAACAAAAGATGTTTTACGATAAATGTACACAATTCTGTCACTTGAAAAATAAGTAACATTTTAAAAAAGGGTACACTTTACTGTATATAAAGATGCCTCCATAAAATTAATATTTGTTTTTGATGTACCACTGACATATTTCTCATAAAACTGTCATCTACCAAAAGCCTGAAAACGAATGTGCACTGATTAAAATACAAAATCAGGTGCAGTCATCTATCGAGCGTTCAAAATACAATAAACGAGCCGGGTGTAGTGGTGCCCACCTGTAATCCCAGCACTCGGGAGGCTGAGGCAGGATCGCTGCGAGTTCAAGGCCAGCCTTGACTACACAGTTCATAGCCTGAACTGCATAGCGAGACCCTGTTTCCAAAAAAAAAAAACACAGTAAAAAAGAATACGGCATCATTCAAAAAGGTATCCAGTTTTAGGCAACCCCGCCTAAAAACTGAGCAAAAGCGAGCGCCACTACAGGAAGTGTGGCAGCAGACAGGATGAACAGCGCAGGAACGGGCCCGCCTCTCCACCAAGCACGCAACCGGAAATGTGGCGCAGGGCTGAGCTCAAGGACGCACGCGCGCCGCCTCGCTCGACCAATCAGAAGGGCGTGAGCGAGCCTTCCGGCAGAAATACCCGGCGCAAACAGGAAGTGTGGCATTCGGCTCTCGGAACTGTGGGTTGGCGCCATGGAGGCCTACGAGCAGGTCCAGAAGGGGCCCCTGAAGCTGAAAGGCGTCGCAGACCTCGGCGTAACCAAGCGGTGAGACCCGTGGGACCCTGAGTTCTGTCGCCGCCCGTGACCGATTCCCGGTCGACCTCACCCGGCTCCCTCGCGTTTCTTCTGCTAGGAAGAAGAAGAAGGACAAGGACAAGGCGAAGCTCCTGGAGGCGATGGGGACGAGCAAAAAGAGCGAGGAGGAGAAGCGGCGCTGCCTGGACAAGCGGACCCCGGCGCAGGCGGCCTTCGAGAAGATGCAGGAGAAGCGGGTGAGGCGGCGGGGCGGGGGAGGGTCCGGTTCGCGGGGGTCCGGGTTCCGGGGCTACCCCGTGCGGAGCGCAACCCGGGCTCTGCCCGCTGCGTGCGACGCTAGGCCGCCGGCTGCCCTCTCTCTCCGGGCCTGGATTTCCCCATCTGCCGGAGTCAGGATGGTTCTTTCCTCCAACAGGGAGGGGACTTTGGGTGAAGCGACGCCGTTGACGTTTTAGGGGCGGGCGCTCAGCCGACCTGAGCGGTGCAGTCAGTTTCCATGGCGACCTCGTGGGGCCATCAGGCATCCGCTTGGGTGGTGGGGAGAGCAGAAGTAAGCGGGGCTGTCATGCTAGAGAGGATTCAGCCTAGGCCAGCGGTTCTGGTTGGGGGTGATCCCTCCCGCTGCCCAGCGCATTTCTGCAGACATCTAGGGTGCTGCTGGGGTCTAGGGCTGGAGAGCAGGACTGCTGCACACGCACAGTGCACGGGGCAGCAACCCCCAGATGTCCTCTTTGCAGAGCGAGCGTCCCTGACCCTGGCTGTGACCCTAGAGGTGACACTGAGGACAGGTGCCTGTTTTGGATCTCATTCAGTTGTGCTCGAAGTTCAGGTGCGCTTGCTCCTCAGCATGGGCCGGGACGTCACCGTCTCTGCCACTCAGTGGTGTAACTCTGGTCGGTTTGCATCCACTGGAAGTAGGCCTGGAGTGGCCCTGACAGGGTTGTGATGAGGCTGAAGAGAATGAAGCACTTCTGTCCCTTGTAACCCTGAGGAGTAGCGTAGCTGAGATGTTTGATTTTATTTTTTGTGGTATTGGAGTTTGAACCAACAGCCTTTGCACTGAGCTACATCCCCAGCCCATTTTTTTAATTGTTTCTTTTGGGTTTTTTGAGACAGGGTCTCACTCTGTAGCTCAGGTTGCCCTTGAACTCACAGTGTAGCCCAAGCTGGCTTCAAACTCTCGGCAATCTTCCTGCCTCAGCCTCCTGAGAGCTGGGATTACAGGCCTGTGCCACCACGCCCAGCTTCAGCCTTGCACTCTGTTGAGTTCAGGGGGTGGCTCAGTGTCAGCCTGGTCAGCACAGTGACAGGGCCCCCGGAGAGCTGGCCACAGTCCCCAGCCAGTGAGTGCCGGGCTATGTGGCTTCCTTTTCTAATGGAGCCCGGGGTCTCCCCCTGAGCTGCCCCAAGTCCCTCCTGACTCCCTGGGTCCCAGTCTGAGCCAGTGTCATCCGGGTCAGGGATGAGGGATGCAGCAGGTCATGGCGCGGAAGGGTTCCAGAATCATATTGGGAAAGTGGTCCAGGTGTTTTCAATTCTTAACATTACACATCTGGAGGGCGGGGGATTTAGCTCAGTGGTTTCGCCGCCTGCTGCGCAAGCACAAAGACCTGAGTTCGATCTCCGGTACCAAAAAACAAAACAAAACAAAAAAAATTACACATCTGGACTTGTTTTGGGGGTTTTACTGTTACAAATTGACACATGTGTCCAGTGTGTAATGACTGAGTCTGGGTGGTCCCTGTGTCCGGCTTCAGTGCAGCCTTGCTGGGTGCTGGGAACCTTCACGCCATCCTGGTTACTGTTCGGTGTTTGGGGAGCGTTGGGATCACAATCACCCTGCCTAGCCGGGCACTGGAGCTGCCCCAAGGGTATTTTGGTGTCCGTTTTCCATCCTGTCTATCCTAACCCCACCTTCCTAGTTCTAGTGCCTTCTTCCCAAAGGGCTACTGAGCCAGATTCCCCATTGGGGTGGCCCGCAGGGGTGCAGCCTGGGACCCCAACCGGGGCCTGTGCCTACCTGAGCCTACAACTCACCACCCATGTCCTCTCTCCTCAGCAAATGGAGCGGATCCTGAAGAAAGCATCCAAAACCCACAAGCAGCGCGTGGAGGTGAGTGGTGGAGGAGTCCCTGGGAGGTCGGGGGACAGGGCTTACCCACAGGCCCGCACCTCCCAGACCCTGCACGGATGAAAAGCGGCTGGGAAGGGGGCCTCGCCCTACAGAGACAGGCTGGGAGGTGGGCACCTCGGTGCCGCTGTCCCCATGTCCTGCTGGGCTCAGGCCACGTGGCGTCTGTGCTCCCCAGGACTTCAACAGGCACCTGGACACCCTTACCGAGCACTATGACATCCCCAAAGTCAGCTGGACCAAGTAGGCCTGCAGAGTCTTCTGGAAACTTCAGCCACACTGCCCTGCACCTGCCCCGCTGAGGCGGAGCTCTCAGAAACTGTCCTTTTGTCCTGGAACCTGATTAAAACCACACTGACTGTCCCTTTCCTCCATGTTGATTTGCTCAGTAGCACAGAGAGGAGAACCCCAGTTAGGTTGCACTGGAAAGTTGGGGATTCTCCAGAGGTCAGGGTCATTCCAGGGTGATTGCCATGGAAAAGCACCCCCAGTCGCGCCTCATGCCCAGGCCACCAGCTGCCGTCGCTGGGGTGACAGACTCCTGGAGTGAGGAGCCGGTGCCACCAGCCCCGTGGGTGCTCTCCGGCGTGGGACCCACGCTGTCCTCAGGCTGTGGCCTCTGCGACCACAAGGCCAGGGCAGATGTTGGCCCTGTCTCCTGCACTTGGGCCAACACGAAGTCCCCAGCACCGGTGTCTGCCACAGTGACGCTGCCCACCTGGCACAGCTCTGTGATGGGGTGGGCACAGTGCAGAATTATTACTCACTTGGAAAACAGTAGATGGCACACTGGTTACGCCACAGTCTGCAGTGGAGAGCAGTGAAGTCCACGTTGAACAGCTGTTGTCCAAAATCCATGGGATCAGAAGTGGCCTGGGTTTCAGATCTTGGGTTGGGATATTTGCATGTACATAATGAGGCATCTGGGAGAGGGAACCCAGGTTTAGATAGGTCGTCCTGTTTCACACGCCCCACCCCGACACCCCAGGGTCATTTCGTGGGGTATTTTTATTAGTGTATTCTGCAGTGCATAATAAATATACTTACTGTGAATTGGGACGTACACATGGTGTAGTTTTATGTGATATTTTAATAATTGTGTGCGTGAAACAGTTCCATAGTGTGGGATTCTCCACTTATATCACAACATCAGAGCTCAGAAAGGTATGGGATTTTGGAACACCTCAGAGTTTGGCTTTGGGATGCTCTACCTGTACTCCTGTCTAGGTGGGCTCACTGTCAGATTCTTCCAGAACCTTCTAGAACGGTGGTTCGCCAGGTTTGTTTTGTTTACTGGGAATGAAGCCCAGGGCCTTTGCACCGAGCTTTATTTTCAGCCTTTTGTATTTTGAGACAGGGTCTAGCCAAATCACTAGGATACCCAGGTTGGACTTGAACTTTTCCATCCTCCTGCCTCAGCTTCCCAGAGTGCTGGGATGACAGGTACCAGGCTCAGCTTGGCAGTGTGGGACCTTTTCCAGTTAGAAGCCTGTGGTCTGGAGCGTGGCTTTAGAAAAGTTGTGTGGCACTGAGATAAATAATCCATTTCTTTGTAAACACTGCAGAGCCTCATGGCTTATAATGGGGCTTCTCCTCCTCCAGTGTGTGGACTGACTCCTGGCTGGGTCTTTGGGCCAGGAAGTCCAGATGGCGTCTCACTTCTGGGACCTCTCCACACAGTCATAGAAGTTGTTGGCTTGCCAGGTATGGTGGTGCACACCTGTAATCCCAGCACTCAAGAGGCTGAAGCAGGAAGATTGCTGTGAGTTCAAGGCCAGCCTGGACTACTTAGTGAGTTCAAGTCCATCCTGAACTACACCTTTTGAGACCTTGTCTCAAAACCGAAAAATGGCTGTGTGGCTGAACCCAGGGTCTGGGAAGAACAGACAGACATGGGTGTCAGGAGGTGGTGCTGACCTGGCCACCGCTTGGAGCCCATGGCTTCAGATCTCAGGGTCTGCTACATGCTGGCTTCGGGGAGCACTGAGAACCATGGATGATGCTGCAGCACTCAGGAGGCTGAGGCAGAAAGATTGCAAGCCCGAGCCCAGCCTTGGCAACTTAGCAAGACCCTGTCTCAAAGTTTTAAAATGTTTAAAAAGCACTGGGGATGTAGCTCAGTACAAAGTCCCTGGGTTAAATTTCTATTACCATACAAAGCACACACATCCAACACCACATCTAGAGTTTGAGTTGACCTGGGGTGGGTGTGGTTTCTGGGATTTTTCAGAGCTCCCCCATGACCCTGGTATGCAGCAAAGGTTGTGGTGTGGTGTCTCTGGTGCTGCAGAGCCAAAACTGGCTTCTACTTTAAGTATAAACACTCCTATGTGGTATCGCATGCCTGTCAGCCCCACATTCGGGAGACTGAGGCAGCATTGCCACAAGTTCGAGCCCAGCATGGGCTACATAGCAAGACTCTTGTCTCAAAAAAAGGGGAAGAGGGCCAGGGATTTAGCTCAGTGGTTCTGCTGCCTTACTCACAAGTGCAAGGTCCTGAGTTCAATCCCCTGTACCAAAAAAAAAGGAAGAATACAAGGGCCAGGGATTTAACTCAGTGGCACCACACCTGCCTCATGAGCACAAGGTCCTGAGTTCAATCCTCTGTACTGAAAAAAAGAAAGAAAAGAATATAATACTAAAGGCAGTGGGGGCTGGTGGAGAGAAACTGCCAAGTAGGACCCTGGTTTCCTGCACCCCAGCCCTTTTTATTTTGCATTTGGAGATAGGATCTCACTAAATCGCCAAGGGCGGCCTCAAACTTGTGACCATGGACCAGAGACGTGGACCATGGCACTCAGCTGGAAAGATGTCTAATGGGCTGTCTTTTAATAAAAGGTCTGAAACCAGGGGTCCCAGTTAGGAACTGGAAGCTCCCTCTGTTTCTGGCCGCTCCACTCATGCCCCTCACTGCCTGAGCTCTGCTTCCTGTCAGCGTTGTCAGGGACTAGACTCTCATGGGAGAAACTTACTTCAGAGCAAGTGCTCAAAATGCTGTTAAGGAGCAAGGCAAGGCAATGAGGTCAGCAGAAGACAGCGGGAGCCGCTCCACACAGCAGTGCCTCTGCACAGACAGGGACGAATAAGAACTTTGTCAGCATGCTCGGTTACAGCACCCACGGGCAGGAAGAAGAAAAGTGGGGAAAAGCGGCAGGAAAGCCCTCAGAGTGTCACTTGTCCTGGACCCGGCGCCCGCCCGCTTGGTGACAGTGCTGAATGTAGAAGTCTCAACTATGAGCCCTGCACAGGGGCCCCTGGTCCTGTTTGCTAACAACTGCATCTGTGCATCACCCCATCTCGGCACTGCCCCGAGGAGTAAGACAGGGTTCTCTTCATTTCTTCCAGTGTGGAAAATGAGCGAGAAGAGTTTAAAAATACTGGTTGAAAAAACCCCTGCACAATCTGGAGCAAGAGATTGCAGTTGACACATGGACTAGATCGGGGTCCCACCCCAGGTCTGTGGCCTTGAGGAACCGGGCGGCGCAGGAGGTAAGCAGTGGGTGATGAGGAGGCTTCCTCTGTGTCTCCAGCCAACCCCATCATAGCCTGAGCTCCGCCTCCTGTAGGTCAACAGCATTAGATTCTCACAGGCCGAGGCCCCTGCCCTGAACTGTGCATGTGAGGGATCTGGGTGGCAGGCACCATATGAGAATCTGATGCTGAGGACCTGAGGTGGGGCTGAGGTGGTCATGCTAGCACTGGGGAGCAGCTGCAGACACAGATGAGCATCAGCACAGAGGTCCAGCTGCACAGTGACCAGCACAAATCCACTGCTCAGACTCAGGTCAAAACCCCAGCAGTGGAGCCAGGGATTTAGCTCAGTGGTTCCGGCACCTGCTGTGCAAGCGCAAGGTCCTGAGTTCGATCCCCAGTACTGAAAAACCCCAGCAGTGAGTGAGTGGCAAGTGACAGTCAAGCTTGAGGTGGTGTCCTCTGTATGTCAGAATCCAACACTTCTTGCAACCTGCATGTGACCCACCCGTTAGTTTATTGAACACTTCCATCCACCTGTCCCAAATTGCACTCTGCCCTCCATCACATTTTGGGAAGTCCACAAGCTAACCAGCCAAATGAGTAAAACACAAACCTTACTGAGCAGCTGCTTGGAAAAGGGGGAGACCCAATGATGAGACAGCAGAAGACTCTGCAGATGCAACGAAAAGAAACCTGCATTTCAAAGAAAATGGCAAGGGTCCTACTTAAATGATGGCTTCACTGCAAAGGGGATGCAGGCAGAGCCCAGGAGCCTTCTCCTATGCACAGAAGGGACGTGGCTTTCTACAGTGAGGGCACTGGCAGGGGCGATGAAGTCAGAGAGCCGCTCCAGAGATTCCCTTCAGGAAGACAGTCACACTAGCAGCACATTTCAGTGATACAGAATGGGTTTCAAAACTTGCTTACTAACAAATGGGTCACAGAGGAAATTAAAGAAGAAATTAGACAGTTTCTACAAGTAAATGATAATGCCAGTACAACATACAGGAATCTATAGGCACAACGAAAGCAGTTCTGTGCGGGAAATTCATAGCAGTGAGTGCCCATATTAGGAAAACAGAGAGAACTCAGTTAAATAACCTAATGCAGAACCTCAAGCTCCTCGAAAGAGAAGAGCATAACAAACCCAAAGCTTGTACAAGGAGGAAATTACAAAGATCAGAGCAGAAATCAATGCAATGGAGTCTAAGAGAACGACACAAAAAATCAATGAATCAAAGAGTTGGTTTTTCAAAAGAATAAATAAAATTGATAAACCTTTAGCCAACCTTATCAAAAAAAAAGGAAAGAAAAGGCTCAAATCCATGCAATTAAGAATGAAAAAGGTCAGGCCTGGGATTTAGCTCAGTGGTTTCGCTGACTGCTGCGCAAGTGCAAGGACCCAAGTTCGATCCTTGGTACCACACACACACACAAAAAAAAGAATGAAAAAGATGAAGTCACAACACATCCAGCAGAAATCCAGAGGATCATCAATACCTACTTGGATGAGAACCTGTACTCTAATAAAATGGAAAACATAGAAGAAATGGACAGATGCCTAGATACATATGAATTGCCAAAGTTAAATGAAGAAGATATAGAAATCCTAAACACCCCAATTACAATGAGTGTAATTGAAAATGTAATAAAAAATCTACCAACAAAGAAAAGCCCAGGTCTGGATGGCTTCACTGCTGAATTCTACAAGACATTTAAAGAAGAACTATCACCATTACTCTTTAAACTCATCAAGGAAATTGAAAGGGAAGCAAGGCTCCAAAATTCATTCCTGGAAGCGAGTGTTACTTTGATTCCAAAACCAGAGAAAAACCCAACCCAAAAAGAAAACTACAGACCAATCTCCCTAAAGAACATAAATGCAAAAATCCTCAACAAGATACTGGCAAACAGAATATAGAGGGTCATCAAGAAGATCATACACCCTGACCAAGTCAAATTTATCCCAGGGATGCAAGGATGGTTCAACATTCGAAAATCAATAAATGTAATACACTATATTAACAGAGCCAAGGACAAAAACCGTATGATCATCTCAACAGATGCCGAAAAGGCATTTGACAAAAATCCAACACCCATTCATGATAAAAACCCTACAGAAAATTGGAATAGAAGGTCTTTATCTCCACCTGATTAAGGCTATCTATGAAAAACCAACAGCCAACATCATACTAAATGGTCAAAAACTGAAAACTTTAACACTAA